AAGAAACTCCTCATAAGGTAAGTCTAATAGCCAACATGGACATTGTGTCTCTTCGCGGTCTCTGGAACTTATCGATGCTCGCCGGCATATTCCGCTGAAAGCGACCACAATGAAATTCACAAAGAGCTCCGAGCAAAAATTCGTGCTAGTCTGAAGAAAGCCCGCGAATCTTGGTGGTCTCTTGTGCGTCAGAGATGGAAATGGCCGCTGCCCTTGACAACCATCGTAAGTTATTCCATCTAATACGGGAAACGGGCAGCAGGAGACCTGGTGTTAGTGAAAGTATACGTGACGAGAGTGGACAGCCTATCCACAAGTTGTCAAAACGTTTGGAGTGTTTGGCTGAGCATTTTGCAAAGCAATTTAATCGGTTAGAATTGTTCGATTCTTCGTTGGCCAGTGATCGCCCTGCTCCGTGGTCTGTCCCTTTGGATCAACTCCTCACTCAAAAGTCGAACGTGAGATCGGACTGTTGAAGATAAACAAAGCCGAGGGACCAGATGATCTTCCACCAGCCGTCTTCAAATTCAAGGGCTCTGCTCTCGTTGATGCTTTTACATAAATTAATAGTGAAACTGTGGGAGCAGGAGACTGTCCCAATCGACTGGAGCCGCTCCGTTATTGTTCCCATCTTCAAAGGAGGCTCGTGTTCGGAATGCGGCAACCATAGAGGAATCAGTCTGATATCCATCGCCTCCAAATTAATCGCCTCCATAATCCTTTACAGACTGACTGGCGCTCGTGAAAGCCAGATTCGTGAAGAGCAAGCCGAGTTTCGTCGGGGTCGTGGCTGCATCGACCACATCTTCACCTTGCGTCAGTTGTTGGAGCACCGTCATACATATTGGCGGCCAACCGTAGTCGTGTTCCTCGACATCAAAGGTGCCTTCGATTTGGTTGATTGTGTGCCCTTTGGAATTGTCTACTCAGGAAAGGTGTGCCCAAGAAATATGTAAATATTATCCGAGCATTATACCCGCGTAGCACAGGCAGAGTGAGGGCTTACGGCAAGCTGTCGTCACTCTTCAATATCTCCAGCGGTGTGAGACAAGGATGCCCGCTGTCACCTTTCCTCTTCAACTTCGCTATTGACGAAGTCATGGAGCTTGCATTTACAGGACATGACTTGGAAAGTGTGGAGCTACTCCCAGGAGAACGACTTCTTGAGTAAGAGTATGCAGACTATATTGCCCTGTGACAGCTCCCAGACGTGCCAACCTGCACTGGACAGATTAGCACTGTCTGTCAGTCGTCTCGGACTTGCTTTGCATCATCGGAATGCAAAGCATTCCTCCAAGATTGGCAGGGATCGCCTCCTGCGCTGACCCTTTCTGTGAATCAGCTAGAAGCGGTTCGGAAATTCAACTACCTGGGAAGTTGTATCAGCGCCCTTGGGATCGAAGACGAGATCACGAACCGTATAGCAAAAGCTCGAAGTGCTTTTGCTAACCTTCGCCACCTATGGCGGCGGCGAGACATTACTCTCGCCCTGAAGGGTAGAGTGTACAATGTAGCTGTACGTTCGACCCTACTGTACGGTTGCGAAACTTGGCCCCTAAGATCGGCGGACATGAAGAGGCTAGTAACGTTCGAACATCGGTGCCTTCGCAGTTTGGCTCACATCTGGTGGGAACACCGCATGAGTAACGAGCGTGTTCGACGCATTGTTTACGGCACAGGAAAAGGAAATGAACCGCTCAGCACCGTCATTTCACGCACGAGGCTCCGATGGCTGGGCCACGTGTTGCGCATGCCAGCCCACCGACTTCCACGACGTGCGTTGTTTGCTCACCGGGGATGCGGATGGAAGAAGAGGAAAAGTGGCCAAGCGATGACTTGGTCCGGAAGAATGAAGGCCCTCACTTCTGAGCTGGCCTCGGTTGGAGCGTCACGGCTCCCTAGTTTGGGTCCAAAAGACGGTGAACACGTTTGGCTGGATACACTTACTGACATGGCAAGGAGCCGACCTCAGTGGCGTTCGTGCTGTGAGTTTCTTTGTCCCACCCCATCCCTTTTAGCCACCCCCTCCATCTACGATCTCATTTTGTAGCGTAAAACAATTTGCCTAGTAGCCGGCTGGTAGCTTACCGGAACGATGCCTATCCGTTGCTGGTAGCTCAGTTGGCATGCAACTGTTGTATTTATTTTCCTTTTCATTTATGTATTGCGGCACAGTAGCTGAGGTGTTTCCCACCTCTAGCTAACGTGTATAATGATGATGGTTGCGAAATAAGCCACCGCATGAATCAGTCATAGTTGAGTATCACCTGTAAATCCTAGTTTCGGACGCGCAATACGGCACGACGTTACACACTAAAAGAAATACAGGGTTTTGTTAATTTGCCCGAATATCACTGAATTAGACGTTCGAAGTGCCTTTCGTCGTTTTGGCTGCAAAGCAGCATTCGTCGGATGGTGTTGAGGAGCACTTTCCGCAATGTCTCCAACGAAATCTGGCTACATTCGTTCACAATGCTCTCTTTCAGTTCCTCCAGGTTGTTGTGTTTTTTTTTCTACAAAATCTACGCTTCAAGTATCCCCTTAGGAAAAAAATCCATATGATTCAGACCCGGTGACCGCGCAGGCCACTCTATCGGTCTTCCGCTATGGATCCAACGTTCACCGAAAGGCTCGTTCCCGCAAGCACGAAACGATTATGCCGAAAGTGCAGGTGCTCCATCCAGGTCTCACCAAACGTTATTTGGTAACCGTTCCGACTGTAGCTGCGGAATGACGCTGGTCTGCAACATTTTCATTAACGAGGATGCTAAGAAATGTCAGACATTAGTAATGTTAAAGAACAATGTACCGGACACACTCCTGGAGAAGAATAGACATTTCACACATTCCATGTAAATATAAGTAAATAAATGAATAAATGCATATTCTCGATTGCACACTAGAAACACCATCGAAAGCCTGGTCAATTTGCACAACAAGCAATTGTCTGACTGTGAGGGCAATAGCTTCATTCATGATTAAGTTGGTGTGCTGTCTAATGGTGCCACTAGTGCGTCGGGGCAGAGTGAAAGCTAAGAGCGTTTCCTAATAAAGTTAAGTATTCGTTTTTATGCACCCATGAAGGGTGAATTTTCAGCGGCATCACACACACAATCGACACGGTAAAACGAAAAAGACTGTAATCTTAGAAAGTGCTCCTGGTAGTATGCTTCTAATTAGCAGCAACAACAGCCTAATGAAGGCTTCCGGTCATGAGGCTCGGAGTTCATGTACTCTATAGACGTGGATTCACTATTCACAAACGTGCCCCTTCATGAAACAGTTGACGATTTGTGTCATTTCATTCTGAACCAAAACATGCATGTGGGCCTCCCTGTGATATATTTGAGAGATATGATTCTAATCTGCACAGAAAATGTACGGTTTGAGTTTGAGGGGACGCCATACAAGCAGATCGACGGGGTCGCCATGGGTAGCCCATTGGGACCAGTTTTAGTAGATATCTTTCTTGGTTTGATTGAAAGACAAGTTGCTGCCAGTATTGGTGAGGCGAAACTGTATAAACGGTACGTGGATGACATTTTGGTATTCACCAGAAGCGAACATTTTGCGCGACTGTTAACCACTTTGGGTTCAGTTCACCCCAGCTTATCTGTGTCCCACGAGATAGAACAACATGGCTGCCTGCTATTTTGTATATCATCATCAAGAGACGGGATGGAGGTACACTGCGGCGCAGCGTTTACCGCAATGCGACATGGAGTGGGCAGTACTTTCACTTTTCCAGTTTCGCTCCGGTTGCATACAAACGCGGCCCAGTGAAAACGCTCTCCTACAGGGCTAGACAAAATTGTAGTCCGAAATTGTTGGGAGTTGAAGAAAAGTTTCCGTATAGGACCTTAGTATCGAATGGTTATCCTGAAAAGTTCATCCAAGTGCACAGCATACCCCCCAAGAAGAAACTGCCGGTGCAAACGATAGAGAAAAAGGCTGTTTATTTGGTTCTGCCGTTCAAGGGAGACCATGTGGCAAAGGATATGGGACACAAATTCAGATCCACTTTCAATTGCACATACACGACTGCCCAGTTGCACCTCATATACACTACTCGGAAACTGGTTCTTCAAGACCGTCAGAGCTACCCTTCGGCTAGTTCGGCCTCTCATGTGGTTTATCAGTTCACCTGCAGATGCGGTGACATTTATATAGGCAAGACTAACCGTCGGTTTGCTCAGAGGGTGGCTTAGCACTTGTCAAAGTGGGTCAAACAAATGATACCGCAACAAAACGGAACGCCCCACAGAACGAATCGGAGTCCGTCATCATCTATCGCCAAACACCGCTTGACAACTGGTCACCATGTGAACCCCAATAATGCGTTCAAGGTGTTATTACGTAACAGGAACCCGATAATGTTGGCAATCAGTGAAGCGTTGCTCCTTAGCGCTTAGCAACCTGTGTTTTGTGCACAGAAACTCTTGAGGCAATCAATCAGATTGCCTTGGTCTTGATTTTGACAGCTTAAATGGTGTGCCAAATTTTTCCCATATATATATATATATATATTTGCGTCTGTGTTTCTGCTTGTATGGTGTTTGCGACTGATGAGAACAATCGAAATGTTGACATATCGCAATCTGCTGCGATGAAATGACTGAAGTGGACCAAATGTTTTACGTTTCTGAAGAGAGAAAAGTTATCGCAAACGCGCTCAGGTGCCGCGAATAACAGTATGCGTGATTTGTGTCCGCTTGTGTTGATCCACTGCGTGCTTTGAGGCAAATCCTCAGTCGGCACTTAGCCAGGCCACACCAAACGATGCACTGTTGCAGCTACGTCATGCAAACAACGAAGCAGTCAAGTGACAATGTTCGAAACGGTTGCGACGCAACAACGTGATATTGACTGCCACATTATTCAAATAAGATATACGATCAACATGAACGCGACAAGGCCGAATAATTTTTTTGTAAAATCCGGAGTGCCCAAGTCAGTGTGTGCGGCGTGCCGCGGACAAGTAGCGAGGAGAAAACGCTCACCTGATCTTGGAAACCGGCCGCCAGGAAAGCTCGAGTAACCTGAGATAGGTCAGAGCCGCATGACTTGTGGTACGGAGCAATGCAGCTGCCTTTAACCAGTTGTTTGAGTTGGAAGCGGACACGAACGGCAGTTTCGAGACGTGTCTGGTTCAGATAGTGTAAGCGACACCAGCTGAGACGAGATTGAAGGCTGCGATCCTTTGTACGCAGTTTGGAAGCTTTTAGATACGCCCGGTAGACTTGCAGTAGGCTGGCGAGGTCACCATCTGGATGCCGGAACTGTTGTACAGTCTAAAAAGGGAGAACACAGTGAGGTGGTATAGAGATGAAAATCGTGTATAGTACTTGTGATGAAAACGAAAGTAAGGGTAACGTGGGGAATGACGGCGCGTACAAAACAGAAAAGGTGTGCTTCAAATTAGTTCAAAATAAAAAGTTCAACTGGTGGTCAATAGACAGGAAGAAAGTAGCTTGTCATGACAGAATGACTGGCAGGGTGATGATTACAAATCGCTCTTGAATCCAGCATCTTGGGGTTTGAACAAACGTTGATGGCTTATTAGCATGTGAGTCTGAATACATGACATTCACAGATTTCAGTGACAGCGCAACAATATTGTTCCACCCAAAATATAGATAGGAGTAGCTGCGCAGTGTAGGTAGCAATGGATAGTAAGATGGTAGCTGACTTCCGTCACACAGGGAACAGAGAAATGCCAATCCAAGCAGACAGCTGTTGAGGGTACGCAGAGGGTGCGCAGTGACTTGTCATTTCGGTTTGGTGTTTCAAGCACAACAAAAGATTACCAACTAATTCATGCTTACAACGACTATAGCAAAAAAACAGGCAATACAAGAGCAAACACGTAAAAATAATCAGTGAAAAAAGGCAAGAATTCAAACAAGCTGTCTGTAGAAAATGGACCCTAAGTAGTCACAAGCGCAGGGCGCACACAGGTAAACCGAGAAGTGTCTTCTAAAGAATTTACAAAAATAGATCGGCGTGTGTAGAAAGATGAGATGAAGGTGAGGTGCCAAGCAAATATCTTGCAACTGCGACGACCCAAAAAAGCGACATGATTTGTGTGCCCTCATGGACAATTCTGAGTGCTTTTCACATCAAGCACGCCCAGTTAGTTTATCAGCAGACGAATGTAGTCAATGATAGATCAGTCACAGGAAGTAACGGTTCACAGCTTAAATAAGTAGGAAATAATAATGAATAAGAAATGATAATGAACATACTCGAACTGGCAAACGTAGTGGTGTTTCAGACCCGACCAGACATGCGCCGCTGCACACAAAGAGCAGAATATCAAAAAAGACTAGGCAACGATGCCAAATCGGTAACTAAATAATACGGTGTCATTTTAGATCGTACATGTTTTTTGATCACTTTTCAATCAAACGCTTTGCCAATGGGTGGTTCTTGCTGGTCACCTGCCTGATTTTGCTGGCTCTCGCTTGTTTAGAGCACTCCTATTTTGACTGGAACAAACTTGCGCTTTGTTCATGCTATAATCGCGGCTGATGAGACGTAGACCGGTTAGAAAAAATTGCACCGAACCGGACAGTATTGACTAGATGTCGATAACCACGCTCTAGCTCGAGTGGACTCTGTTTTCACTGTGGTGGGTGTTCGATTTAAGGATGACATTCTGTGTTTGGAATAACAATGTTTTTGTTCTTGTCAAAGCACAGACCGTTGCTGCTGGTGCATATAATATTGCTGCTGTTGTAGTAACTAAGTTAGTTGTGAATGATAAGCCATGTCCGGCGCTAGTGTTTTAGTCGCGCCTAATGGGGCGTAGAGCCGCCGGAACAAAGACTTTATCGCACAGGACAGTATTGATCAGAAGTCGTCACGTGTAACATGCATGACAGACGACCATATAAAGTAAGGTGAGAGGGTGTCGAACAAGTCGCCTTAGGCACACGAATCACGATAGAGCAGTGCACGGTCAGAGGCGCGCGATGAAGTTAGACTTTTAACGCGTAACAGTCAGAATACTTAAACCTCATTCCGGTCGGCCCACTCAGCCTTTGCAAATTTGAACATCGTGTTGTGTCGGTGGCGATGAGTAGCTTTTCATCTGCCGGCTTTGTCCGTTACGTTAGTTCGTTCATTCAGCTGTCAACGCACCACGCGCCGTCTGCTCCACGTAGGTGTCGGGTGCGTGAAATTCGCTTGCCTTTGTACAAGATCGCCCTTGACTCACAGCGGTGAAAGTAAATCCCCCACGGTTGACTCGGTATGGCTATGCGTGGTCAACTTGCGCTAGCGGCGTAGATTAGCTTCCCGACCAATGACCGCGCGACGGTTTCGGTCGCGTATATTACCAGCTACCGCGACATAAAACATGCAAAAACTTGTCTGTAGCATCTTAAAATTATGGCTCATCACATATCCTGGTTCCATATTTTCACACTGCCTAGGCATATTTTCAAAATCATCAAACGGAGAAACTGCTCCATTTGTAATATCACGAGGTTTTAATCAACCAGTTTTGTAAATGGTTTTTCAGTCTTCAACGATGACGACTTATCATCTCGATGCAGTTATCTCACAAGTGACAGTAATCTCTGCTTCGACCTGTGTTATCCTGTACAAATAATTAGCCGGAAAATTGTCGTCACCGTGACTGCAATTACCACGAAGGATGAAAGAAGGAGCTTGCAAATGCACGATGGTCAGTCGTGTCAACAGTGACAGTAGCAGTAAAGGATGAGATAAAAAGAACAAAACGTTTCCACATCCAAGCGGTTTGGGGAGTCACAGCCACCTTAATCTATGGAGGCTTTTGACGCAGCTCCGCCGTAAAAGCGACTGCAGCCAGAGTGGTGCAGTGGATATGGACAAATTAAATACAGAGCTTAGCTTCGCCTCATCGACTGGCTTGTCGAACTAACTCCTCGTGGTGCCAGCTGGGTGGTTCGGGTGTACCCCGTTCCAGCAAAGTGTTCGGCGACAATGTTCCACCTCCGTGGGGCATTGTATTCCAGCAATTGTGCGGACTTCATGGGGAGTATTGGGCCCCTGTTTGGTAATCTACCAAACAGAGGCATGAACTGAACATTCAGTCAACGCCTTCCAATGGGCGCGATTCCCTAAATTCGCTCCGCTGCCTTGCGGGTAGGTTATTTAGCCAAAGGCTCGGGGTGAAGTCCCCTAAGTCAACTCCCTACTTCGCCTGGGGCAACCAGGTAGTATCACGCCCTCTCACAAAACCATGGACTGTACTACAACGTGCTCATCAGCTATTGTTTCTGCTTCTCACATTCACACGACTTCATCACACGCCAATTGTTTGTTTGCTAACAATCCTCACTTTCCGTTACCCGATTCATGTGTTCAACAATCTGGCTGCGATTCCGGTTGCGCCGCAGACCAAGAAGTTCAACCTATGGCTCTCCTTCGTCCCCGATCCTCGTTCCGTCTGGCGTGGTTCAACGTTCGGACACTCATGCAGAATGGATAACAAGTCAGTCTAGCGCGCACCCTAAATTCCCTAGACATTGATGTCTGCTGCCGTTCAAAAACAAGGTTGCAAGATCCCAGCACTGTGCTTACATTGATTTCCCCCACTGACCACGAAGCCAGATATCACCTGCGTCTTTCTGGAAATCCAGAAGCAGCCTCAGCGGGTTTGGCTGGTGTAGATATAGCACTAAGTGGCAAGGCCGAGACGGCAGTACTGGACTGGTTCCCGATTAACAGCCGACTATGTACAGTTCGGCTTCGGGATTCATGTGGAATCAACAAGCACCGCGAAGAGAGACACAGTTTGTTTGTGATCTCCGTGTACGCTTCAACTGACTGCAGTGGCGACTCGGTCAAGGACAAATTCTACCGGGATCAACAACAGCTCTTGACTAATGCTAAAATGTCGGATGTCATTGTCGTTGCTGGGGATTTTAATGCACGGGTTGGCCGCCTGTTACCATACGAACGCCACCTTGTTGGTCATCACGCGCTCGATGAGAACCGCTCTGATAACGGAGAGAGACTTCTCACATTGTGCGAGGACAACCGTCTGTTTCTTTCGAGCACTAACTTCAGGCGTACGAAGAAGCGTTCCGCTACTTGGTGTCCCCCTACTTCAACACAACCGTGATCTCAAATTGATCACATTGCAATTAGCTTCAGATGGCGCGGAAGCGTATTGCACTACAGGTCCTTCTGGTCCACCTTCGTTGACTCAGATCATGCTCTGGTCTGCGCGAAAATCTGTATGTGTTTTGGAGGTTCCGAAACACGAAGCACCGCAAGATTGATGTAAACAGATTAATTGATTCCTCTGTGCAGGCGAGTTATCAGTCTTCACTGGCATATGCACTCAGTTGCAATCGACCGCAAGAAGTGGAACAACACTGGACTTGTATACGGAAAGCGATGACAATGTCCGGACAGTCATACTGCAGCCTAACCCGACGCCCCTTGAAGGCGTGGATCTCTGCTCGTTCTCTGGAAAGGTTCGAACGCCGCAAAGATATCCCTGCGGAAACAGACTGCAACGAGCGGCGCCAACCAGCTGCTCAAGCAAAGCCTACGCAAGGATCGCGAGACATGGTGGTCTGAGCGTGCTTTAGAGATGGAGACTGCTGCCCATTCTGGCAACACTCGCAGGCTTTTCCAACTCATTCGGTCCACTGGCCTCAGAAAGCCTGGTGTCAGTGAAGTCATTTATGAGGTGGATGAGTCTGCGATCACCAACCAACAGAGGCGTATGGACCGCTGGGCCGAGCACTTTCACTCGAAGTTCAACTGGCCTCCACCATTCATCAGTACATGCAGTACACCTTGTTGTCCACCTTGGCTCGTCCCATTGAATCCACCCAGCGAAGCGGAAGTCTGCCTCGAGATTCGACGCTTGAAGCGCTTCAAGGCTGCCGGTTTAGACGGACTTCCTCCGGAGCTATTCAAGTACGGAGGTGTGGCTATTATTAACCAGCTGACCGCGCTGTTCGCAAAAATTTGGCATGAAGAGAAAGTGCCTTCCACTTGGGGCGAATCAGTTATTGTCCCGATTTTCAGGAAAGATGCTCGCACTTCATGTGCAAATCATCGCGGAATCAGTCTTATTGCGGTTGCCTCTAAGCTATTGGCAAACATATTGCTTCGCAGACTATTCCCAGTACGTGAAAAACAATCTGGTTTCCGTCCTGGCCGCGGATGCGTGGATCAAATCTTCACGCTCCGCCAGCTCCTCGAACTTCGCCACATTTATCACAGGCCCACTATCGTTGCATTCCTAGACATACGTGCCACTTTTGACTCCGTTGCTCGACCT